CATCCAGACCGATTTTGAGCTAGCAGCAATCCACGCCATAGAAACAGAATTTCCCACTGCTGACGTGAAGGGCTGTTTCTTCCATTTCTGTCAAGCCATCTGGAGGAAGGTTCAGGATCTTGGACTAGCTGTTGCCTACAAGGAAAACCCCGAAGTCACCAAGTGGATCAGGAGAGCAGCTGGACTACCTCTACTTCCTCAAGCCGCGGTCCAAGACACTTGGATTGAAGCCATGGATGACACTCCTGACGTCCCAAGAGCTGGCGACTTCAACGACTACATCGTGACAACATGGGTCGACGACACTGCCAGATTTTTTTCTTCACCTGTGGAACCACAACTTGACAGCTGGGCCGAGGACAAACAACCACCTGGAAGGATTCCACAACCGTCTGAATCGAGAAATTCCACACAGGCACCCGAACATCTACAGATTTGTAGAAGTCATCAGGAGACTGTAACACTGACACTTGAACACTTGTGATAATGTAATAATGTGGTCTTTCTCTCATCCTGATATGTTGATATGAAACACTTGTGATAATGTGATCTTTTTGTTCATCCTTATATGATGATATGAAAACACTGAATGTAAATAGACTGAAAAACTTGACAATTGATCTCAATGATGTGGTACTTTGTGATAACACATGTATTAAAGTCACTTTTAAAATCTGTCTTGTGTCATGTTGTGCATCTTAAGTGGACCAGTCCACTGTTTGGAATAGGTAACAGGCAGGAGATTAGTTATGCAACAGACCATAAACTATGTTGTTATAAGCTGTAGGGGTAGTGGCATGTAGGGGTAATGGGAGGGTACCATTTCCTTGTATAAAATGATTCTCACCTCCTTCATTAGCATAACTATCAGTAGCGCTTTAATATTCCACCGACATGCAGTGATGTACTTGAAATGTTTTCGTCTCTTGACAGTTCCAATACAAATAACACACATATTAACAATGTAATTGGCGGAACCTAGATTAATTTATTTGGATTTATAATGACAATTTAGTTGATGGTATATTACAACATATGGAGCAATATCGGTCTATAGCTGGGTCTACAAGGGTCTACACGGAAATAGTTTGCATAACATGACCACATTGACGGACAATGTGCAATTGAAATCAAGACATTTCCCATTTTTGCCGTTATAACTTGCTACTTGGACATGTGTATGGAGACCATAAATCTTTCGTTGTGTTCAGTTCAATTTCTTCTTTCTGATTATCTGAATTGGTCACAAGTAATGGAATTCATTTCCATGTGAATGGAAATAAGTAAGCAAAGATAACCAACGTGGAGGACTTTTCCAAACGACCCGTCGAGGAATGCCAATTACAGTGAGGAATTTGATTTCTGCTTGCCCGCTTTGGCAAAATTCCATCACTGTCTAGGTTCCTTAAGTTTCGTGTTGTCCGGTTTCATTTCTAACATTTCATCTGTGTGTTTAGATTCTTTGGGGAAGTGATGATCGCATCTGTCGGTTACTGACCACATCATGTAAAACAGCCGCCGTTTCCAGGACATTCTCTTTGTTCTGTTCCTTCAGTTGCAATTCGCCTCGCCACTTAGTGTTAATGACAGGTCCAATGTACCTTGTTTGATGATACCCACTGTGACTGCAGTCTTTGTTCGCGTGTGAAGTTTGTGCATACCTTAAAACAACCGCATTACGCCACAATATGGATTCAAGCTGACCCTATGTGTGGCGGTGTGGCAGTGTTACGTTCACAATGTTTTCATTCGGTTAAGGGCGGTGGGGCAGCCTAGTGGTTTAGTGCGTTCGCTCATCACGCCGAAGACCCGGGTTCAATTTCCCATATGGGTACAATGTGAAGCCCATTTCTGGTGTCCGAGCCGTGATATTGCTGGAATATTGCTAAAAGCGGCGTGAAACTAAACTCACTCATTCGGCGAAAACCCATCCTATTTGAAAAGATAAACATTTACGCGAACACATAGTGTTATTTCTCATTTTAAGAAATCGAATTTTCACAGTTAGTTTGTTTTACGCACAAAGAAATCTGTTTGCGAGGATGATTGGGATTGGTTATTCTTTTGCTGACGTTCTAAGTATATTTGTTATAGGACTACACATACCAAAGGACAGTCACACCGCTGGGCGGCAAATGTGCACATAATAACAATACAATATCACAATCGTATGCATTTCCTCGAGTATATATGGTAATGATGATTGGCATAGACTTCAAATTGATCAATCATCACAGCTGGATAGAGCAAGTTTGGAAAAGTCCTCAATCCCCCCGGTAATGATGTGTACGGTATGATGTTAACTACGGTAAAGATTTCTGTCTAGTGTTAACATATGCTTGAGCGATGACAATACCTGCGTAGAGCATATATAGCTAAAATGAAAAGAGTGTTTAGAGTGTGCACATTTAAATCTGTGATGCACACTGTAATGGTACATTTAAACCATGGGGGTTTGAATTTTTTGGGAAAAAGAATCCCACAACCTATTTAAATGACTACGGTAAGAAATCGCGTATAAACTGTTCCCTGCTGTATACAACCATGACATGAACGAATCATCTTGCGATACTATTATACTTCCTCATGATGAAATATATGACCGCAAATACGGAAAGGCATTTAGAATTTGGACGAACATGAATACATGACATGAATTTTATGGATAACAACTATTCTATTATGTTTAATAGCTCTTTTCCACTATAATAAAAAAGAAGTTATTCTGCATAAAATGTGTCATGTATTCACATGCATTGATCAGTTGTGGGGACGGTGGGGTGGCCTAGTGGTTAAAGCGTTCGCATGTCATCGGTTCCCAATTGCTCAGATTGTTGCTCATACTGTTGATCACTGCATTGTCTGGTCCAGACTCGACTATTTACAGACCGCCGGCATATAGCTGGAATATTGCTGAATGCAGCGTAAAACTAAACTGGTGTCCCCTCCGTGATATTGCTGAAATGCCGCTAAAAGCGGCGTGAAACAAAACTCACTAACTCACTCATCAGTTGTGTGAACTCTCGGAATTGCTTTTGTGACTAAGCTAGTAAGCTACTGAACGCTACGCTACAGTATTAGAATCTAGACTGTATGTACTCTTCCTCTGTATACACTGTGGGAGGATCGTAGTAGCCAGACACAGACTGAGAACATACACATGGATATCGCGATACAGAAAGGAAATACTTGATTGTACCAATGTCGCAGTTGTCCAAGTTATCTCTAACGCTATCCATCAATGACATGAGTAGCTAAGGCAAAGGATGAGATCTAAATGGTTTTACTTTGAAACGAGAGAGGAGCAAACTGTGAATTCCTTGGGTTCATTCAGCATCTGTCCTCATGGTCCCTAGTATGGTGATCTATCTTCAGTTGTTTTATAGCCCGTTTTTACATTGTCTTGTTATTTCTAGTTAAAATGTTTTAGATTTAATTACTAGTTTCAAATGGATATCTGTGACACACTAGTAGTTTTACTGTTCTTCGTCAACAGACTTTATATTTAATTTTATTCATCTATCATGTTGATTGTTCTCGTCACGATATGACTGAAATATTGCCGATGTGACGATAAATATTAACTCACTCACTCACTCATTCAGTGTTTCTGAGATCGAAAACGCAAGTAGTTACCATAAACAGGTTATCTGTTGTTGTAATTTCCTGATGGTTTTTCTGATCAATGCTCTCAATGTTTACTAGTCGAAGTGGTAAGATGATAATCTTGCCTGGCCAGCGTTGATTTACTTCAACATGAAGTCACAGTCAACCATGACATTTAGTAAGATGGTCATCTCAATAGTGTTCAACAAAAGGTGTTTCTTAATTACGTCCAGGTTGACAGCCTAACCACTGCCTGCTGGGAGGGAAAGGTTATCTGCCCTTGTCTATGGGGTGTACCAGAGAATAAAATGCTAACTGATTGCCGCTGTGGGCGTCAAGTTTTGCCGTGGACGAGATGCAGTGTGCCCTTGGATTTGCAAACACACTGATTCCCTTTGTTAAGTTTATGAAAAATGTAAAAGGAATATCGTGAAATATCGGCAATATAGCACATCTTTTAAATCTTACAACGCATGCGATGTTGTTGTACTTGTTTAAGTAAATGTTGTTTACTGTTCGTTCACTGCAAAGTGCTAATATGTCTGTGAGGAGTGTGTTTTTCGCCAGAAGATGACTGTGCGCAATACACATTTGAAAGGTGTGTCCTCTTAAAATGAGACTATGTTTGACTATTGGATCGATAGATTAACTTCTATTTTCCATGGTTAACTGTGACTCTTCAGATTGTTCTTATCAAACATTGCGTGTTTACTGTACACCTTACATCTTAGATGGTTATTTTACACTTGTAACTTATGTGTGGCCTCAATCTGAAAGCATGCCATGTCGGGGATTGGGAAATCCAAAAATGTCCCTTACCAACATTTTCTCGTTAAGCACTTCACACACACCTGTGCGTGTGTGTGTGTGTGTGTGCGTGCGTGCGTGAGAGAGTGTGAGTGTGTGTGCGTGAGTGCGTGAGTGTGTGTGTGAGTGAGTGAGTGAGAGAGCCTAATGTTGGAGGAGAGCCCGAACTGACGACGGTCAATTTGTTGAAACCTACGAGCACGGGATCATTATCTCCATCTCCGAACCCTGTTACTGCTACGAAATGTTCCTACATTTTTCAGCGCAGTTTAAAAAGAAATATGAATTATAAAAAGCGTCAAGTGTCATTTCGAGCGGTGTGGTAGCCAAGTGGTTACAGCGGTCGCTCGTCACGTCGAAGGCTCGGGTTCGATTCCCCACGTGGGCACAATATGTGAAGCCTGTTTATGGTGTCTGATATTGCTGCAATATTGCTAAAAGTGGCTTAAGACCCAACTCACTCAATCAAGAATCATTTCGGTGAAATGTTGAGAAATTAATAAAACATACCCTTTCGTATGATGTGTCTCAACATATATCCCACGTCAGAATTATCTGCACTGACTAATTACAAACTACAAGAAGAAAACCCACAACATTGAATTTTATTTGCAAAAAACAGATGATATGACGGAATATGTCAAACTACGTCATGAGATGAATTACATATCATCCAGACACTATGTCACGCAGTATATAAACACAAACATACTTTGGAAGCTTTCTCACTGTACATATAAAAGAGAACATAATATAATGTTTTGTATGACCCACTCCATCTAAGAGGGTGGTGGGTTAACCTGGTGATTAAAGCGTTCGCTCGTCACGCCGAAGACCCGGATTCGATGGATCCCGCCGTGATACTGCTGGAATATTGCTAAAAGCGGCGCAAAACTAAAGTCACCCACTTACTTCAGCTAAGGATCACGTTATCTTCAGACAATGTGCAGAGACGATCAATAAAAAATGTTTCCTCACTAAGTTATAATAGAGTACCCTGGGTATTTCGATATCCGCTGACCCCATACCGTTCACTATGAAAAAACGTTCAGAACGTTCACTATCAGTCAAAACGATACGTATCGCCAGCACAGTCTTCTTATTTTTCTAAGCGACTTAAACTAAATCATAAACTAATGTGAAGCATCATGCGATCTATGAAAGAAATCAATACATCAAAGGATGAAACTTAATCAACAATTGTTACAACTAAAGTTTCCGGGTGAGTCTTGGTCCATGGTTACCGTCTATTTTAAACCGTCGCATTAGACGCATTATCATTTGCTGTTCTGCTGCATTTGAAATAGCAGCAGCAGGTCATCCGTTTCACTATTTCAGTATTTTCTGCGTCAACATCAAACGGTTGTTTTGTCCCGGTGGATCTTCTATTTGTTTTCCTCAAATTTCATCTTCATTTCACTAACAAATCCTTCACGTATCTGTAAAATAAAAGAAGAAATTTGATTTGGGTGAAATAATTTTCTAAAAGAATATGCCATAAAATGGTGGTCAGTCCAGTTGGTTCAATATTGCGTGTGGTCATAAATAGCAAACGAGCAAACAAGCAAAGCCATCCTGTGAATTTGACAATAATCTGGTACAGCTGGCTCCTCTATGCCATTGACTGGATCACAGAATATCATAAATATTGACTGACAAAGGGAAACATACCATATGTGGTTGACAGGATTTGAACAGAGAGGTTGATTGTCCACCTCTTAAAATTATCACCCATCGGATTGATGTTCACGGTTACAGTTACCATGATGTTCCTGGACCGATTCTAGTGTACGCTGTTATGTACGAAAGCCTAATGGTCCCATACCGGTAGCGAAGCAAATGGATTTGTTTCTCGTTTTTTTTATATATATCCCCTAATTTTAATTATGTTTACGTTATTTTAAGTCATTTTGATAATTTATACTACCACAGTAGTACTATTAATACACAGTAATGACGAATAATGACAATTATTATTCTAAAATGCCCATCAAAGAAGACACAGTTATGACGTTATGATTATTTTGTGTCAGAAAATGTTCAATTGTTCAGTCTCTTGTCACGGGCATACTTAGGTGTTATTATTTATGTGTCATGAATTCTGAGGTAGCATTCACTGCAAGGAAGAACATTTGTGCTACTGTCTATGTCAATTTCTGTCAATTCATATGTCTGCTGGAGTAGTATAAAGGTTGTTGTCGAGGTAAAGATTGATGAACCTTTGCAGGAAAACTGCGTTACAATAGTGCCCATAATTCAGTGTTATGAAAGACCACCTCTTTCCATTTGGTTTGCTGTAAAATAAGTAGATTTTGGTAGTTCGCCAATCGTACTCCTTTACAGGAATGTTACGTGAAGGTTTCTGTGAAAGTACATGGAACGCTGGACTTCCTAATTGAAAACACTAATGTTACATTTGAGGGTTAAGTATGTAGGAATGAAGTAGGCATCCCCATGGGCACCAACTGTCCTCTCCTTCTTGTCAAATCTGTCTTTGTATGCATATGAATTTCTCCTAAGATTTGCAAAGTCAAAACAAGGTAATTTGGCCAAGGGGTTTTAAGGCAGCTTCAGGTATGTATCATTGATCTGATAAACTTCACTAATCATCAAATATCAAATTCCCAGTCTTCATTTTCAGATCTATGCCTAAAGATTCGAAGTGGCAAATATCTTTTCGCAAGGCCGTATGACAAGAATGGGGATTTCAACTGCCCAATACTCAACTTTCCTTTTAGGACGGGGGCGGTGGCTAGCCTAGTGGTTTAATTCCTCATATCGGTTCAGTACTCACTCACTCACTCAACCTTTATGTCGTGAAATATTCCACAGCTGATTGACGTTTGCATGTGTGCGTGCAGATGTATATGATATAGTCTGAATCGTAACATGCACTCTGCTATCATTAAAAACCTCTCATGGTTATGGAAATGGAAAATTCGCTTTAATTCGATGTGATAAATATTTACTTACCCCGTCTGGTTCTTGGTCGTTATCCTTTTCGTCACCGCTGCTACAGTCATAAAGACATATGTTTGACACAAAATAGGAAATCATGAAACATGTTGTGTTACACATAAATACATATAAATATAATAGACATATATATGTATACAGGTTTGGGTGCTGAACATTTAACTTCCTTCACTACACAAATTGTTTGATATAGGTAATAATATGTCATCGCGAACGGCCACAGTAACATTCATCAAAGCAAATTTTAGTCTAAACAACTAAGGCATTTTGCATGTGTAAATTATTCATATCTACAGAAATATGTGTCGTTGTAGATTACAACCTGTTTCCGCCGTAGGAAATCTCAATTACCTACCTGTGAACAATTTCGAGAAACTTATAGCTCATTTGTCAGACTGTTCAGCTCAGTGTCAATTATTCTGTTGGGGCATGCACTAAACGTAATGATCTACTTGTAATTAAGACATATACAATTGTTCTGTTGGGGCATGCACTGAAAGTAATGATCTACTTGTAATAAGAAATATACAATTATTCTGTTGGGGCATGCACTGAACGTTATGATCTACTTGTGATAAGACATATACAATTATTCTGTTGGGGCATGCACTGAACGTAATGATCTGCTTGTAATTAAGACATATACAATTATTCTGTTGGGGCATGCACTGGACGTAATCACCTACTTGTAATTAAGACATATACAAATTACACTGAACAGAAACTGTGATCACAGCCCAGTACATTAACTGGGGACAAATACTCTTAACCTTGGGTCATTGAATGCTCCCACTGGCCCGTGAAAGCTAGTACTATTTCATTGACCGTATTTGCAGTTGAAATTCTAAACAGCAATATTTGTACAGCTTAAAATTCATTTGATCAATATAATCACATTTACATTGTGTCATCAGCCAGTGCACACAGATACACTTTTGTTTAGTGTTCAGCTGCAAAAAATGAAGGCAAGATAATTTTGTGTAACTTTGTTTGTTGTTTATCATATCTTATAACTACAGACCAGTGATTGACTTTACCTTGCAAGATTCTGCTTTGGACCGTCAGTGTTGCCTCCCATCGTTTTGTTTTCAGACGTCCTGAGTTAGATTAGTAGTTTCAGTACATAATCAAGTAATAGTAATTTCAATGTAACAATACATGTTATACATGTTGAGTACAAAACGTATGTACTTTTGGAACCCATTTGGGATTCAAACCCGCACTCTCAGCCCTCTCTGAGATGAAGTGTATCTCAGAACATAGAATATGTCACGTTTTTAACTATTGTCTCAATGGCTTAAAGTATTTAGAGCTTGCTGCCGAGGGAGCCGTGCCAATTTACACTTGTCAAAAAGCTACAGAAAGTACGTGATTTGTAAATATATTTTTTTATTATGTGTGAATTTACTTTTTAAGACGGGGAGGCTTCTTGGGGCCCTCACTGTTGCTTCCCATCGTCCTGAAATAGACGAGTACTTTGATTATAATCAAGTAATTTCTTTGTAATAATACATGTTATAAACGCTGAGAACAAAGCGTATGTACTTTTGGAACCCATTTGGGATTCAAACCCACACTCTCAGCCCTCTGGGGAAGTGTAATTCCGAACATAAGATATACTCTGAATTGCAAAATGCAAAAAGTATTCATAGCTTTCGTCCGTGAGAGCCGTGTCATTTTACAGGCACAGAAAGTACGTGAAATGGACTACCAGTTGTTAGACTTCCATGTTTGTGGAGTGCTGGCTGAGTGGGTAAGACTGTGTGAGGGTTCGAATCCGGATGGGAATCTACCCAATAAAATACAAGAATCTGTATTTTATTGAAGAAATATAATCCCAAACGGAACATAGTTTATTTAACGTTTCTGTTTATCATATCCTACAGAGCAGGCTTCCGATTAACTTACAACTATTTCTTGCGGTATTATCAGACAGTGGATAACACCATTGACATTATTATGATTTATTCAAGGTAAATTATACATAGCATGTCGGCTGCAACGTGTATGTTTGTCGTCAATTACATGTATGTAGTAGTACGCATAGATATCCGAAGTCAGAATGCTACTTCAGTGGAGGCAAGGTAGTTTTGATAACTATATAGGTATACTCACGTTTCACCTGGTGAAGTGGGGACAGTGCCACTGAAGGAGAATCAGATGTATGCATGATTACATTTTGAATTTAAACACATCGCTAAATTGTGTTAGCGTGTCAAATTCGTGATTTCTCCAAATTCGGATAAGTACGAATTTCATGTTTTTATTCTCCGATGCCTATAATACAAGTTCTTCTGTAAGGGGTATATTACATATGTTTAAGGTCAAGAAATAGATATGTTGATGATATCCACAGCACGCGCCTTAATGTTGTATTTTTGTGAATACCATTTTTCCATACACAACATGAAATGCATTACCTCTTTTCTCTAGTGACAGTAGAGTCGTCCTCTTTTGCAACATTAGAACCTCTGAAATAAGACATATTTATAATAAGATCAATTTAGCAAACCCTCATTACAGCCGACTAATATACATTCGAGCACAAATATGGGACATCATTGTCTCTAGCAGACGACATTGATAGTGATCCTCAGTATGGATGATTAGAGAAGAGGAAGTTGATTTTAGAGTATTATTACAACGACATCAGATCAGCTAATCGGCTTGGTATTCTTGTTTCTAAAAACAAACGAAGGAGTTTAGAAAACTTAAGGCTGGATATGATTGATAGAGGAACTGTGGCTGTCTGTTAGGAGACAATTAGAACTGAGCTGCATGCAATGGGTTGGCAGAAAAGTCGAGGAATTCAATCACCGATCATGAAACCTGAACAAAAGGATCGAAGGTTGAACTGGTGCTAACAGCATAGAAATTTTAACTGGGACAATGTGATTTTCTCAGATGAAAGTTCTGTGTGGCTGTTTCCTTATACACTGAAATTCTGGACCAAACAAACTGAAAAGACTTTGTATCAGCGCCCAAAGTACAGTCCTAAATTTAACGTGTAGGGTGGCATATTTGTGTTAGGGGCAACGCCCTTCTGTGTATTTGAAAGGAATATGAACAGTGAGCGGTACACAGATATTCTCCAGGGTCATTTACTTCCATCTGCTCACGTGTTCTATGGAAAATGTTGGATTTTCCAGCAGGACAACGACCCAAAACATCGTTCAAAGCATTCACAGGCCTGGTTTCGGACCCAAAATATGACATTATTAGATTGGCCAAGCTATAGCCCTGACTTAAATCCAAAAGAAAATGTTTTGGGACTTATGAAGGAAAGTGTCAATAAGAAAAATCTGATAAAACATTGTTGAAATGAAAGAAGAGGTGGTCCGATATCGGGACAGCATGGACCACGACTTTCTAACTTCTTTGATCAGTAGTATGCCCCGCCGCATTGAAGCCTACATTGCTGCCCATGGTGACTTGACAAAATACTAACTGTTCACCTGTCTTTATTTAGGTAAGGGCTATAGCTTGGCCAATCTAATAATGTCATATTTTGGGTCCGAACTATGAAACATGTTGGAACTATCAAACTTGAGCGACAACAGTGTATTTTTATGTTCAAGGATACGATGTGAAAACTACTTTATACGGTAATGGCACATTGAATAACTCAACAAATAGTGACCTTCTCGACTCATTACACCAGTTTCCGCTTCCAGTGATTATCAACTCTATATCCGATATAAGATATGTTTTATATAACTTGATTTTCTGCGGCAGCTCATTTCGTTGCTAGGCATAACCAACACCATAATGAATATAAGTATTTATTATTCAATCATTTATCTGTTATTTTGTTTCAGTATTATTCTTTTGTTGTCAGATTATTTCAATTATGTATCCAGCTATTGGAACAAAGTACTGGAGCGGCGTTTCTATACGCCACTGGGCTTGTTCGCCTATCCAGGTTTCTGCTTTGAGGAAGTAAAAATATGTTTAAACCATTTGTAAATATTTTATTTATTGTGAGTACATTTACCCTTCAGAAAGGAGAGGCTCCTCTTGGTCGTCACTGTTGTTTCCCGTCGTTTTGTCTTCAGACGTCCTGAAGTAGATGAGTAGGTTGTAATATAACAATATTTGTTATACATGCTGAGTATAAAACGTATGTTCTTTTGGTATTCAGTATTCAAACCCACATTCTCTCTGATGAAGTGTAATTCCATAATATAACAATATGTCAGATTTGACTACGTTCTGAATGAAAGTATTCAGATTTTTCGGCTGTGGGAGCCGTGCCAATTTGCACTTGTCAAAGAGGTACAGAAAGTATGTGATCTGGATTACCAGTTGTCAGACTACCATTTTTGTGGAGTCCGTGGTGGCTGAGTGTGTTAGATCGCTGACTTTAGGTCCTGGCAATTAGGTTCCTGACCTAATCCAAAACTAATTAACCCTCTCTCCCTCTCTTCCCTGGCTTCTCTAACTAATCCCTTCGCCTAATCAGTTATCCCCACTCCCACTGGTATCCTATATAAACATCATGTTGTTATCTTCCCTCGGTTTATCTCATGTATATTTATGCTTACTTTCATTGTTAATCAGATTGTGTTTATAATCCATTGTCTTTGTCTAGGCAATGAAGTTGTGATAACAATAAGGGTAAACTCACGTTTCATCTGGTGCTTTGCCGACAGTGCCACTGAAAAATATTTTTTTCATGTTTAGATATTGAATTTAAACACATCACTGGTCACAAACTGCATATAGTAAGCGTGTCCAATTTGGCATTCCCCCCAAATTTCTGTTCAGTAACAATATTATGTTTTTATTCTCCGTTGCTCATGATACAAGTTCTTCTGTCAGAGGTATATTACATATGTGTAAGATCAGGAGAGAAATATGCTGATATTATGCACGGCGTGCACCTTAATGTTTTCTTTGAATATCATTTCTTCATCCACAACAAGCAATATATTATCCCCTTTCTCTAATGGCAGGTGAGTCGTCCTTTTGTGCAACATTAAAACCTCTGAATTGAGACAAAAGTATTAGCAAATCCTCATTATTGCCGGCTGATACACATTCGAACAGGCATACTGAACACTAATAACATCCAATAACAGAAGCTCGCGACATAATAAACACAAATATGAAGCAAGACTGACATTCAAAGGGATAGGTCGAACAGGATCTTTATTCAAATAGGAAAACTATGATCACATTCCCATTTGTTACATTAGAACTTTTGGAGGCGCATGCCTCACAAATGTTATTTTATTCTTTGGGTTTAGTGGTGTTTAAATAGTGTAAGAGACTCCTTCCGTCGGCTTATGAATACGAAATGTTGAGTTAAAAACGTATGTACTTTTGGAATCCATTTGGGATTCAAACCCACACTCTCAGCCCTCTCTGTTGAAGTGTAATTCCAAATATAACAATAGTTCACATTTGACTACTTTCAGAATGACATAAAGTATTCAGGGCTTTCGGCCGAGGGAGCCGTGGCAATTTACACTTGTCAAAGGGGTACAGAAAGTACTCGATCCGTACTATCAGTTGTTAGACTTCCATGTTTGTGGAGTGCTGGCTGAGTGGGATAGACTGTGTGAGGGCTCGAATCCGGATGGGAATCTACCCAATAAAATGCAAGAATCTGTATTTTATTGAAGAAATATAATCCCAAACGGAACATAGTTTATTTAATGTTTCTGTTCATCATATCTTACAGAGCAGACCTCCAATTTTAACATACAACTATTTCTTGTGGTATTATCAAACAGTGGATAACACAATTGACATCATTATTATTTATTCAAGGTAAATCATAAATAGCATGTCGGCTGCAACGTGTATGTTTGTCGTCAATTACATGTATGTAGTAGTACGCATAGATACCCGTAGTCAGAATGCTACTTCAGTGGAGGCAAGGTAGTTTTGATAACCATATGGCATACTCGTTTCACTTGGTGAAGTGGAGACAGTGCCACTGAAGGAGAATCAGATGTATGCATGATTACATTTTGAATTTAAACACATCGCTAAATTGTGTTAGCGTGTCAAATTCGTGATTCCTCCAAATTCGGATAAGTACGAATTTCATGTTTTTATTCTCCGATGCCTATAATACAAGTTCTTCTGTAAGGGGGTATATTACATATGTTTAAGGTCAAGAAATAGATATGTTGATGATATCCACAGCACGCGCCTTAATGTTGTATTTTTGTGAATACCATTTTTCCATACACAACATGAAATGCATTACCTCTTTTCTCTAGTGACAGTAGAGTCGTCCTCTTTTGCAACATTAGAACCTCTGAAATGAGACATATTTATAATAAGATCAATTTAGCAAACCCTCATTTCTTCCGACTAATATACATTCGAGCACAAATATGGAACATCCAATAATAGGAGCTCGAGACATAATGAACGCAAATATGAGACGACATTGATAGTGATCCTCAGTATGGATGATTTAGAGAAGAGGAAGTTGATTTTAGAGTATTATTACAACGACATCAGATCAGCTAATCGGTAAACGATTTTGGTATTCTTATTTCTGGAAAAAACAAACGAAGGAGTTTAGAAAACTTAAGGCTGGATATGATTGATAGAGGAACTGTGGCTGTCTGTTAGGAGACAATTAGAACTGAGCTGCATGCAATGGGTTGGCAGAAAAGTCGAGGAATTCAATCACCGATCATGAAACCTGTACAAAAGGAGCGAAGGTTGAACTGGTGCTTACAGCATAGAAATTTTAACTGGGACAATGTGATTTCCTCAGATGAAAGTTCTGTGTGGCTGTTTCCTTATACACTGAAATTCTGGACCAAACAAACTGAAAAGACTTTGTATCAGCGCCCAAAGTACAGTCCTAAATCTAACGTGTAGGGTGGCATATTTGTGTTAGGGGCAACGCCCTTCTGTGTATTTGAAAGGAATATGAACAGTGAGCGGTACACAGATATTCTCCAGGGACATTTACTTCCATCTGCTCACGTGTTCTATGGAAAATGTTGGATTTTCCAGCAGGACAACGACCCAAAACATCGTTCAAAGCATTCACAGGCCTGGTTTCGGACCCAAAATATGACATTATTAGATTGGCCAAGCTATAGCCCTGACTTAAATCCAAAAGAAAATGTTTTGGGACTTATGAAGGAAAGTGTCAATAAGAAAAATCTGACAAATGTTGTTGAAATGAAAGAAGAGGTGGTCCGATATCGGGACAGCATGGACCACGACTTTCTAACTTCTTTGATCAGTAGTATGCCCCGCCGCATTGAAGCCTACATTGCTGCCCATGGTGACTTGACAAAATACTAACTGTTCACCTGTCTTTATTTAGGTAAGGGCTATAGCTTGGCCAATCTAATAATGTCATATTTTGGGTCCGAACTATGAAACATGTTGGAACTATCAAACTTGAGCGACAACAGTGTATTTTTATGTTCAAGGATACGATGTGAAAACTACTTTATACGGTAATGGCACATTGAATAACTCAACAAATAGTGACCTTCTCGACTCATTACACCAGTTTCCGCTTCCAGTGATTATCAACTCTATATCCGATATAAGACATGTTTTATATAACTTGATTTTCTGCGGCAGCTCATTTCGTTGCTAGGCATAACCAACACCATAACGAACATAAGTATTTATTATTCAATCATTTATCTGTTATTTTGTTTCAGTATTATTCTTTTGTTGTCAGATTATTTCAATTATGTATCCAGCTATTGGAACAAAGTACTGGAGCGGCGTTTCTATACGCCACTAGGCTTGTTCGCCTATCCAGGTTTCTGCTTTGAGGAAATAAAAATATGTTTAAACCATTTGTAAATATTTTACTTATTGTGAGTACATTTACCCTTCAGAAAGGAGAGGCACATCTTGGTCGTCACTCTTGTTTCCCACCGTTTTGTCTTCAGACGTCCTGAAGTAGACGAGTAACTTGAATTTATAATCAGGTTATTTTAATATAACAATATTTTTTATACATGCTGAGTATAAAACGTATGTTCTTTTGGTATTCAGTATTCAAACCCACACTCTCTCTGACGAAGTGTAATTCCATAATATAACAATATGTCACATTTGACTACGTTCTGAATGAAAGTATTCAGATCTTTCGGCTGTGGGAGCCGTGCCAATTTGCACTTGTCAAAGAGGTACAGAAAGTATATGATCTGGATTACCAGTTGTCAGACTACCATTTTTGTGGAGTCCGTGGTGGCTGAGTGTGTTAGATCGCTGACTTTAGGTCCTGGCAATTAGGTTCCTGACCTAATCCAAAACTAATTAACCCTCTCTCCCCTCTCTTCCCTGGCTTCTCTAACTAATCCCTTCGCCTAATCAGTTATCCCCACTCCCACTGGTATCCTAATCATCATGTCGTTATCTTCCCTCGGTTTATCTCATGTATATTTATGCTTACTTTCATTGTTAATCAGATTGTGTTTATAATCCATTGTCTTTGTCAAGGCAATGTACTTGTGATAACAATAAGGGTAAACTCACGTTTCATCTGGTGCTTTGCCGACAGTGCCACTGAAAAATATTTTTTTCATGTTTAGATATTGAATTTAAACACATCACTGGTCACAAACTGCATATAGTAAGCGCGTCCAATTTGGCATTCCCCCAAATTTCTGTTCAGTAACAATATTATGATTTTATTCTCCGTTGCTCATGATACAAGTTCTTCTGTCAGAGGTATATTACATATGTGTAAGATCAAGAAAGAAATATGCTGATATTATGCACGGCGTGCACCTTAATGTTTTCTTTGAATATCATTTCTTCATCCACAACAAGCAATATATTATCCCCTTTCTCTAATGGCAGGTGAGTCGTCCTTTTGTGCAACATTAAAACCTCTGAATTGAGACATAAGTATTAGAAAATCCTCATTATTGCCGGCTGATACACATTCGAACAGGCATACTGAACACTAATAACATCCAATAACAGAAGCTCGCGACATAATAAACACAAATATGAAGCAAGACTGACATTCAAAGGGATAGGTCGAACAGGATCTTTATTCAAATAGGAAAACTATGATCACATTCCCATTTGTTACATTAGAACTTTTGGAGGCGCATGCCTCACAAATGTTATTTTATTCTTTGGGTTTAGTGGTGTTTAAATAGTGTAAGAGACTCCTTCCGTCGGCTTATGAATACGAAACGTCAATGCAAAAGAATACCCACACTTGACTTTCTTGAGAAACAGATTCCGTTTGGTGAAAAATACAAACTGCAGTTGAACTATATGAATGGACCACAGGAAATCAGTCCAAAATTGTGTATTTCCAATCTGATTCAGTTCAGATTCCTACTAGCAATTCAACAAGATACCTATCCTGGGTTGTTTGTACAGTTACGGACGCTTCTTAGGCTTGAGCTGGCTTGTCGGGTTGATGTCAGTGGCTCCTTATATAAAACACATCCTTTATAAATTGGCTACATGATGATAATGTTCAACAATTACTTCAAGGTCATTTTTTGTCTTTTTTGGTTTGGCGTGTGATTTCCCAAAATTTGACTTTCAATTGTCTTAGTGACATTATTATATTTGTTCAAGGTAATCGATACATGACATTTCGGCTGCAACGTAGTTATGTTTCTGTTTCTGAATGATACTATTTAATTGTGTTGACATTTAACTTTGAGGAAGGAGAGACTCCTTTGAACAGTCAGTACTGTTTCTCGTCGTTTTGTCTTCAGGCTTCCTGGATTAGATAAGTAGTTTCAATGTAAATTCAAGTAATTTCAATGTACCAATACATGTTACATACGCTGATGCATACAAAACGTATGTACTTTTGAACAGTAAACAGCATGCCAGCAACAACGTGTATGCTTTCCTAAGTTACATCATGTATGTAATGGTGTGCATAGTTGTAATAAATATAGCTACCAGTAGATACCCGTAGTCAGTTTCTGAATAATAGTTACGTGGAGGCAATGTTGTTATCCCCACTCCCACTGGTAGCCTATTCATCATGTTGTTATCTTCCCTCGGTTTATCTCATGTATATTTATGTTTACTTTCATTGTTAATCATCTTGTTTTTATAATCCATTGTCTTTGTCAAGGCAATGTACTTGTGATAACAATAAGGGCATACTCACGTTACATCTGGTGCTATTCTGACAATGCAACTGAAGAAGAAATATTTCATGTTTAGATATTGAAGTTAGACACATTACTGGTTACAAACTATTTTACCGTGCCCCACTTATTCTTTCCCCCAAATTGTGTTCATTGCCAATTTGATGTTTCAATTCTATGCTGTTTGGGATACAAGTTCTTATGTCAGAGGAATATTTCATAAGTGAAACAGAATGGTCAAGGAATATATATGTTTATAATATGCAAAGCATGCACCTTAATATTTTCTTTGTGAATACAATCTCTAAACCCACAGCAAGAAATGTATTACCTGTTTTCGGTACTGGCAAGAGAGTCCCCGTTTTGGGCAACATTAGAACCTCTGAAATGAGACATGACTATTTATAATGATCCCTTTAATCAAGTAATTTCAATATGCCAACACATGTTATACATGTATTTGCAGTCCCCACGTTGAGGATGTGTTATTCCAAATATAACATTACATTTTACCACTTTCTAAAAGGCATAAAGTATTCATAGTTTTCGGCCCTGGAGCCCTGCCAATTTACACTTGTCAGTTGATCTGGATCAGGGCCTAGATTTTCGAAGATCTCTTAGCGCTAAGATAGTCGTAAGTTAATGTTAATGTATGGCACGGCACTTACGACTACCTTAGCACTAAGAGAGCTTCGAAGATCTAGGCCCAGTTCCTTTTTGTGGAAGTTGCGGTGGCTGATCAGTGAGTTAAATCGAGGACACGTGTCTATAGGCCGGGTGTTCTGGAAAGGGATAGTTTTTGAGGTGGGGTGTTATGAACTGCGATGGGATAACAGCTGCAGCAAGGATTCCAGTGATTGTGTTGGATTTGAACTTGAATGCTGCGAGGTACCGAGATCCATATTGGAAATGGCCGCTTTACCGTTTTAGCAAGTGAACGGCCTAGAGTGACGTTTATTCACGATAACGCCAGACCAATGTTCGCGTTGTACAGTTGTATCTAATCAGAGCAATGTAAATGTGCTCCCTGGGCACGCAAGATCCCCTGATTAGTCACCCACTGAACACTTCTTAGACAAAATGGGGCGACGTTTGCGAGGTCATCCGAATCCATGAACAAGTCTGGAGGAACTCTGCCAAATGCTCCCACGGATATAATATGATATTTCCAAGGACTTTCACCGATATTTAGTGAAGCGAAGGTGCCTGGCCTGCATCAATGCACAGGGCAGACACACTCTCTTCTGACCGAGTAAAGTTGCATGTGAACCCGCTCTTGTGCTTGTGGTTCATTTGCATATGTCAGGTGAACGGTTCGTAAGGATTGTTGAACCTTATCATACCTTGAAACATTTGATTTGTCTTTCCATGTAATAACATTTCATTCGGAACGGAAACATATAACATTGATTCTGTTTGTTGTTACTGTCTCAAAGAGGACAATAGAGAGCTTGAAATTCGGTGTTTTCACAGTAGCCGACTGTCACGCCGACATGTTTTCTGTGAGTGAGTGGTTTTACGCCGATTTTAGCAATATTTCAGCAACATTACGGCGAAGGACACTAGAACAGGGCTTCTCGCTTTGCACCCATATATAGGAAATCGAACCCGGGTCTTCGGCGTGACGAGTATAAGGTTTAACCACTAGGCTTCCTCACCTGACCCAGTTGGCTAACTTTTCATCTTTGATCGAATATTAACTGATTTACCTCCAACAGCAGAGATTTCTTCTTCTCAGACTGAAATGGATAAAAATGTTAGTAATTTAAATGAAAACATTATGTCATTTTGTCATGTTTGCACATTCATACACAAACATACAATGTACGAGCACACATCAATTTAGAAATCTTGATCCGAATAATTAAACATACTCTGTAATATCTCAAGTGATGGATCACTTATAGACAGTAATAATCAAGGACTGTGTAAGGTTCCTTCTTTCGTTGATAATATCCTTTAAGTCAGGGTAATTGTAGCGGCAACGTTTCATACGCTCCAAGCAAAACAAATCGATTTGACTATACACGACAGATCATTAAACAATAGACACAGGGGAATTGTCGACTCATATAAAATATACATTTTGTCACTAATCCTTTTATTTAATATACATGTGTTTACTCACATATACGATCAGGAAAAGGTTTATTAAAACTTTTATACCTAACGATGTTGTACCTAACTTTTTTTTTTTAAACATGAATAGTATATGTTTATGGATTGTCAGATTGGTGGTAGTGGACATATCGTGAACAAATTAAACAAACATCATCGCAAGTTGCTGCGATTTGACGATGTTATTCATGCAGTCGAAGGTTTGCGGCGTGCGCAATTGACGATCAGCAAGTTGATGCAGCCTTGGGCTGCAGACAGACCGCGAAGTGGAAGACCCAGCCTGTCGCCACTGAGGACCTTTTCTTCGCATCTTTCAGCAAGGTATCAGACGCCTCACTATGACGTCATCGGCACTGACTTCACTTGGGCTGCGATAATTGTATTAGGGCCTAACAGCGATTCAGAAAAATGACATTCACGACCAACATCGGCTTCCGTCTTTACACTGGGCTCGACATTTTCATCACTGGCAATGATGCAACTGGTAATGTCTGCTACTTTTTGATGAGAGCAGAATCTATCTCTTCACAGAAGACGGGTGAACACGAAGCTACTGACGGGACATAATGGCTCCTTGTTACATTCAGGAGACGTTTTGGTAGTGACGATTTGAGGGACGAGTAACGGATTCAGTTGAATGGAATCTTAATGCAGGTAATACATTAAATCGCGAGTTACGTCCCTTCGTCTACCGCTCTTGCAGCCAAGGGCCTCAACAGAACAATGCCTGCTGGGTGGGATCCATATTTGTGATATTGATCATCACGATAGAACAACCAGCGGGTGTCAGATGGTCAATGGAGGGTGTGTCCGGCGTCATATGTACACTGTACAAATATATCATGAATCACGTGTTCTCTGAATATTTAAAATCATAGCCCTGATCCTGGGTGGGATCTGTGATATTGGCAATTGGGTTTTATCAGTTTGACAAATATAATGAATATTATAAGTTTTTATCAGTTTGAAAACATTACCGCATACTTTCTTTTGATCTTCAGTATATTTCTGCTTGATAATATGTTGATTACTGTACTTACAAACATATCAGAACGGCGATGCCGACGATGCCGGCGATGACGGGGATGCCAATTCCAACCCCAATTCCAGCAATCGTTCCTGTGCACAAAGTTAAAAACGTTCGTACACTAAACAAGCATCAATATCATACTTTTCAAATCGTTCAAGAGTCTTTGTTACTTCCAAACAAACTACCTAAACTCAACGAACAGCATTAATCTTGCAGTCGATACCAGTCGTAGGCTGCACTGAGTCGCATTGTTGAATACACGGGTACCAATACACGTAAAGGCAAAACGTCGCAAAAAGAAATTGGATGCCAACTGCCCCGCAGGTCAATTTTTTACTTAACGCTTTATCGTCTTCGTGTTTTTTTAAATGATGAAATAATCTTTGTTTGTAACGTCAACACGATTCACACTAGGCCCAACAACACACCGCCACTGTGCTGAGTTTGTTGTGAAGCTTTAGTTGTAAATACAAAACTGAAGATTAACAATCTTTACTTACCTGCATTTGAACTATGTTGGACTGGCTGTTGAACAGCCACACAGTCTTCGGTGACGTTTTGTGATTCTGGGACGTACCGACACGGTGTAAAGCATATGTTAGGTTGGTCTACTTTATACAGCTGACACATGCTGCCTTTAGAACAATCAGGTGTTCCACATCTGAGATTACACAGTTTACCGTAGTAACCATCTTTACATCCTCCCACGCAGGTCCCATTTTTGTAACAACTGTCCTTACAAGTATGACAGTCCTTTTCACATTTTTCACCATAGCGTTTATCATTGCATTCATCACAAGAGCCTCTTTCTGGTAAGCAAAAGTCATTTTTACAACCAGATGGACAAGGTTTGTTGCACATTGTCCCAAAAAACCCAATCTTACAATTGTTGGAACATTCACCCGTGGCTTGTTTACATAAAGGTTTGCCTGCGTTACCCAGGGCACAGTTTTGTGGACAGATATTTTCACAGGTATCACCATGGAAACCAGTCTCGCAGTAGTTGTTGCACACTCCTGACACGTACCTTGTTCTACAGTTGGGACAGGGCACCTGGCAGTTTGTGCCCCTGTAGTTGGACACACAACACGTGCATGCTGTGTCGTGGCAGTTCGCTCGAGTCTGTCTTCTTACACGCCCCATCTTCCGATCAGCTGAGGACAAACTGATGTTACACATATGCCATACCAAAGATTATGAAATTATGAGCACGAAAGGAGCACATGATAATCTAGAGTGAGGGAAAAGAGAACACACAGAGAGTATTTTTTCCAACAATGTTTTTTCCACCAAACTTCAAAACAAAAGAAAGTATCCACCAATACGCGCTAAAGGTGAACGGTTCTTCCACATATTAGATATCTTAGGTATGTTTCGGACCTTAAGTCTGCAATGTTTTAGTCACTTCTTTCAGCTTAGTAACGATTGTAATTTGTGGGTCATATCCAATTTGCAAATGTGTACCTTCTAATGCCCGGCAGTTTATTTACAATTCTAACATAACAAAACAGATGGTGCGATTAATAGTATTTCTGAGGGTAGTGAGACTTACTTTTACTTTTACTAAGCGCTGCGTACGCCATTTGTTTGAAGGACAATGGCCTTGTAGAATATTAACATTAAGCCTTCAACATTAGAGTATCCAGAAGCAGGCGCTACGTTAAATGTTTTGATACGTTTCCCGGCACACCCACAGTAACAGTGTATGAAATAAGGCCCGTCCGACCGCCCGAGACGGGCTAGATTTCTGCCGGAAGGTCTAATTTTACAGCTAGCCAGCCAGATGGACGGGTGAAAAAAATATATTCCGATAACATGCCCACTGTCACTGACTGGTTAAATCTCTTCTGGGCTGGTAAGTTTTTGAAGTTACCAGCCCAGATGTCTTGCTGGGTTTTTTGGCTTATTTCATACACTGAGTCAGTAACCAAAACACGCTGGCAGGACGACAACCAGCGAGTGGATAGTCAAGACTGGGTATTCCTTTGCGCTGACCTTTTCTATAATAATCCACATGGCGAGAATACTGATTAAACCACCACATGGATTATTTGTTATTTGTATGGTGAAATGAAGGAACTGAACAAACAAACGACTTCGGTGGTAAGAAAGAAGGGCAGTAATCACATGTACGCTGTAGAATGGTTGATGTTTGAAAACATGTTTGACAAAGCTTGGCCGAAAGGTTTACATACATTTGAACTGGTCCCTAATTCAAAATGATATTTTGATTTGCGAAACAGATTATGATAAAAGAATGCATTACCGACAGTTGGGCTGTAACATTGCAGACAGTTGCCGAGGAGCTGGCATTCTTATTACTAAACATGTATTTCCTTAATAAATATAATACATACACATCCTTATTTACAGTTGGGTCCAAGGACGGTGGTTCGGTGACGTTCCTTTAGCAAGATTGACGAGTCACAACATGTTAGACGAAATACTTACATGTCTTTAACTGACCTCTTATTTGGAAGCATATTTTTTTTAAAAATCCCTCAGCAGTTCACTGATATAGGCATGCATCCCCAATAACTGACCATTTTATCAGTTTAACTGTTAATTTAAACATATCTTTAATCGCGGCCCGGACGGCTACTTCCTGATACGTCACGGAAAAAGGAACATGTGTACAAACCATTTTCAATGTTATCATCACATGACCCGTCGATACTGCATCTTCCGTTTCTACATGCTGGGTCACACGCCAAGTTGCACCGCTGTCCGTAATACCCATCAACGCATCTCAGGCATGTCAAGTACTTGTCACATTGGAGACAGGATTCGGGGCAGAGTTGTTGAGAGCCTGACATCGTTATTATTATTATTACTATTATTATTTCTACGCCCTTATTTGAAAGAAAACATCTCGGAAAATGTGTCACTGAATACTGCTTTAACACGACCCACAGTGAGTGAGTTTAGTTTTATGCCGCATTCATCAATATTACAACTATATTGCGGCTCACGACCCACACAAGATGTGTTAATGGAATTATCCTCTGTCACAGTTATACTAATGCAATATGCGCACGTAAGACATGGTGATCATCAGGTATACAATGAATGACTGATAAAGTGGAATAATTGTACGCTGCACAAATAGAGAACACTTCAACGGCGATGTTACAATATCATTAGCATACAGGACAATATGAAAACGGAATGAGACTGTATCTTTGCATGTTGTAACGTTTAGAAAATTGTGACCAATGTATGCTTACATATCACATTCACCAAAGCCATCATCTGCCAGAACCACCTTCCTCTCATGTCCTGAAAATTAGAACATCATGAGAAGAACGTGGTGAATAGTTGTTTTTTAGACATCCTTTTTAGACATCCACCAGCATAACCATATTGTTCCGAAACAATATTCCTTGACATTTTACAACTTATGTGTGCAATGAAAACCACGTGACATTGGGAAAACCCGTTCGGAATCCCTATTTAAGGCCTCCGTATTGCTGCATGATGCGTACTCGGACACTTTTGAGCGTAAGCAAAATCATGCACTACGCATTACGCGTGCATGGAAACGGCTTTTACTTTTTTTAGTATAAAGTGTTGTTTACGCACTACACATCACGCACTAAGCGCACATGGAAACTCGGCTTAAGTGATGCAAACGTTTAAGGCCTACCTCTCTCTCCTGGGCCTAGATTTTCGAAGCTCTTTTAGCGCTAAGATAGTCGTAAGTTAATGTTAATGTATGGCACTTACGACCATCTTAGCGCAAAGAGAGCTTCGGAAATCTAGGCCCTGGCTTTCAAACACAAAGGTAATAAAGAAGTATGCGTTTTGATATTTATTGTTTATTTATTTTATTTTTATTATATTTATACATGTCGTTATCATATGCCTCTTACCATTGAAAGAATCGCCATCTTCGGGAGTCTGGACACTGACCTGGAGTGGAGGATGGGGAGCAGTCAAGATTTGAACTACGGCAACGAGCAGATGCTACTGATGGTAACAGGTACGCACTGCATAAATATTTCCTCGTTTTGCCACATGTTCAGCTTTAATGCTAGGTTCGGAGAGCAGTGTTATGCCACTTCAGCCACATAAGGTATGAAAATGGCACTGAACGGCAAAGAAAACTGCTGTAGACAAATCAGACTGTGTAAGCCACTTTGAACTACTGAAGCAAACCTTTATCATTCATTTAAAGTATCAGGTTTACCATTATGCCTCTGGAGGGTTTCGCCCATCTGGGCGACTCACTTCATCTCAAGCTGACATTATATACTACCCATCAAAAGTTTAGACTCGCTTAAAGCACTCACTATATGTTATGTATATATATGAGGTTACATCGAAGATGAATTTCTCCACTAACCTTGGGGAACCAGCTCCAAACCTTATACAGATGAATTGCATCATTTATTGAACTCATGACAAAAATCTTTTCAACGTTACGAATTTTACAATACATCAGTAAACAATTTTACGAGTTTTACAGCACATCAGTTCATCTGTAAACAGTACCTTTAAACAGTATGGAATATTTTGTTCTAGTTCAGAACAGTTGACTGAAGTAAGTGGCCACATTTACACTAGTGAGTCTAAACTTTAGATTGGTAGTAAATAACTGACACACCGCTCAATGCTACGCTAAACCAAACCCACTCACTGACAACGCAACTAATAAACCGGATATATTCCTTTTCACTGACATCTGCCTTCCCTCTGAACGTGGAACTCGTTTTAGGTGCTGAACACGTTGTTCACTGACAAAATACTGTCCACAGATGTCTTGAGTTGAGATTTTTGTTCGCGGAAACAAGGTGACCATCAATTCTCCTGACAATATCTTACATTGTTAAAGTCAAAACCCATGCTAGAAGACAAGCTTACATAAACACGTTTGCGTAGACTGTTATGTGGTAATAGACTAAAATGATGGACCATGATACTGTCGGAACGCGGGATATTCCCCATCATGATTGTGAGTGAGTTGGGTTTTACGCCGCTTTTAGCAATATTCCTGCAGTATCGCAGGGTACACCAGAAATGGGCTCAACACATTGTAATTTTTGGGGAAGATTCGATAATAGTATCGAAGGTGCTTTAGATATTTCAAGTAAAGTTACTATTGTTGGTGATTTGAATGAAAATCTACTTTCTGTATCTAAACTTAATTTAACAGATATCCTAAACAGAAATTTCAAGTAAAGTTACTATTGTTGGTGATTTGAATGAAAATCTACTTTCTGTATCTAAACTTAATTTAACAGATATCCTAAACAGAAATAACTTATGTAACGATATAACAGAAGCTACTAGGGTGACGAGGACAACCAACACACTACTAGATCCAATTATAGTCAGTGATGATGTTGAGGTTGCAGAAAGTGGTGTTATCGATTTTGACAGAACTATAAGTGATCACAAAGGCACGTTTGTCAGCCTAGATGTGCATGTGTCAACTAAGATTGCATATCCTAGAAAGGTCTGGTGTTACAAAGATGGTGACTATGAGAACCTGAACGCACTTATTAGCAATACTGATTGGTTGTCATTGTTTAGTGACTGTTCTAATATTGATGATACTTGCTGTGCATTTTATGAACGTTTTAATGATTATACCAAACAATGTATTCCTTCTAGAATTGTGATGATAAGACCTAATGACAAACCATGGTATGATTCAAATATTAGACGTGAAAGTACGAAGCGGGATCGACTACGGAAAAGAGCCATCAGAACACAGAAAGAGTCTGATATTTTGAAGTACAAAAAAACGAAATAAAGTTAATAACATGAAATGTTATGCAAAAGAACATTTTTATTCTAATCTTGATGAGTTTTTATTCGAACTTTATGGAGAAAATAAATCATCATATTGGAAAATATTACGCAGTTTGATCAAGACGTCAGGTTCCGCTTCTACTATTCCCGCTAAAAAGAAGTATTATTGAGGAAAGTCCATCAGCTTATTAAGATGTAGATAAAGCCAACATGTTAAATCAATATTTCGAATCTGTAGCTAATCTGACTGGTGCAGATAACAAATATACACCACATTTTGACAGGCGCACGGATGCCGTTATAGATAACATTATAACAGAAATTAATGAGATCTCCGACATAATTAAATGTCTACCTCTCAAGAAAGCTGCTGGACCAGACCAGATTAGTCATCAGTTACTTAGAAAAACGGTCGAGACTATAAGCCCAGTACTGTGCATATTATTTAACATGTCACTTACTTTATCAGTATATCCTAGCCAATGGAAATATGCAAATGTTATGCCCCTAAGGGTGATCACTCAATTGTATCAAATTATCGCCCTATTTCACTTATAAGTTGTGTTGGGAAGCTGTTTGAAAGAGTTGTATTTAAACATATTTACAATTACTTCGTGTCAAATGATTTGTTATATAAATACCAATGTGGATTCCGGAGAGGCCACTCTACTGTACAACAACTTGTTGAAATTTATAACCAAATCTGTATATCACTCGATAACAAAGAACACTATTGTATGGTCTTTTGCGATGTATCTAAGGCCTTTGATAGAGTTTGGCACAGAGGGCTTATGCTTAAATTGGAGAGGTACGGAGTAAGTGGAAAGTTACTTGATTGGTTTGATAGTTATGTAAGTAGTTGCAATCAATCAGTTTCTGATCATGGCTCGTTATCTAAGCCTTTGGTTTTAAAAGCAGGAGTTCCACAGGGATCAGTATTAGGTCCCTTTCTTTTCATTGTGTATGTAAATGAGATAGCAGATAAACTACATTGTATAACTCGGCTTTTCGCTGACGACACGTCACTGGGAGCTTTGTCAAAAGAAAAGCAGTTGATGGAAAGAATAATGAATGAAAATCTACAAATATTATGTAATTGGGCAAAGGACTGGCTAATTTCTTATAATCCGCACAAAACGGAAGCTATACTATTTACGACGAAAGATGGCCAAACAGACATTAATTTGAAATTTGACAATTGTCATGTAAAACCAGTTGACTTTCATAAACATTTGGGACTAACATTTTCATGTAATGGGGGTTGGCACCATCATATTGAAAGTATTGTTAAAAAGACTTCTAAAATGATTGGAGCATTTCGAAAGTTAAAGTATCTCCTGAATAGAACAACATTGTCAAGCATATATACTGTATTCATAAGACCACATTTCGAGTACGCATCTGAAGTATGGGACGGGTGTTCTATTGAAGAATCTAATAGATTAGAAAAGTTACAACTTGAAGCGGCTCGTATAGTTACTGGTCTGCAGAGATATGCTTCTTCTAGATCATTATACTTTGAAACGGGATGGGATTTACTATCTGAGAGAAGAAGGGTGAAAATATTATCGTTATTTTATAAGATACATACAGACCTTGCTCCAAGTTTTCTTTATGATTTACTCCCTCCTGTAGTAGGTAGTCGAACAAATTATGAATTAAGAAACTCCAGTAATTACACTCAACCCTGTACAAGACTACGATATTCGACTCTATCCTTTTTTCCATCAACAATTAAACTGTGGAATAACATACCCTTAGCTATCAGAAACTGATAAATCTGTAAATCTGTTGTGTCTTTTAAAACTGCAGTTCATGTGAAACAAAAATGTGCACCCGTATATTTCTCATATGGGAAAAGGAATCTAAATTTTTGCATACAAGATTAAGATATATGATAAGTACACTTAATTATGATTTATTCAGAATTAATGTTAGAAATGATGCACTTTGTCAGTGTGGCCATAATTGTGAAAATGCTTTTCATTATTTTCTTGAATGTCCATTATATATAATTCAAAGAGAACAAATGTTAACCTCTTTAGAAAATATAGTGAATAATAGAGCATGTATTGATATTAATCTCATCTTAAATGGCAATGCAGGTCTCTCGCTTAGTGAAAATCAGAATATTTTTAAAAGTGTACATATCTACATCTATAACACTAAACGATTTAAATAACTCTGTCTGTACATATCTATACCCTTTGTCTGCCTCTTGTTGAACTTTTTTGTAATATACACTTGTAACTATGTGGAGAGGGCTTATTTAAGTTGGATAACTTGTGCCCAATCCGTTTCTTAATTGAATAAAATATGTTTCAATCAACAATCAACACATTGTAACCATGTGGGGAATGGAACCCGGGTCTTCAGCGTGACGATCGAACACTTTAACCACGAAGCTACCCCTCTGCCCCTATCAGGATAGAAAGGTCTAGGCATTACATCTACGTTCCCAAATGGTTACAGTCCGGGAGAGTTACATTTCCGAAACAGATAGCCAAAATTGATGTGGCTCTCCCGGCAATAGTTAAGGTTGCGTGAACATGGAATGTGGCTCTCCCGGCTATGCTGTCGAAACATGCTTAGTGATTCAAACAGGTTACCGTTTGAATCAACAAGACATGTTTCCTCATAATACTTTTCTGATCACAACCGTGATATGGTGGCATCCGAAGGCGTTGGCAACGGCATTGTATGTCGACCCCATCTGCAACATCCCAATGGCTTTTTCTCTCTCTTCAGCTGTTAATCGTGGCATATGTCTCGTACTTGTGTATCATATCATGCATTCTAGGCTCTTTTTATACTAGGGGTGGGTATTGCAGAGAATTTTCACATTGCGATATATTGCGATGCGAAAGCATATATTGCGATATGTATTGAAATGTTTATTGCAAGAATGTTTTATTTTAACAATAAACTACTTATGATCGAGTTTACGCTTTATTTATAAAGCAAAAACACAACAAAGTCACAATGCTTGATTAAGCTTTCATAAAAACCTTCAATCATGACAAAATAAGAATATCAATAATATTTGGCACAAATGAAACAAGGAAAAGAATAATTAACATCAACTCAGAGGTTACTAGTTTGAACTACTTTCTCCACTCTCAAAAAAAGCCTTTAGATTTTAGACAGCAACTTGACCTGGTCAGGACATATCAGGGATCATTGGTCATTAATGAGTAAATATTTAAAACATTCCGATCCAAAACATTGCGAAACATTGAACAAAATTTAAGAACACAACTTCAAACCGAACTTAACAAACTTAACGGCGGCCTGAAGTCTGATACGAACTATAGCTTAATTGGCTATAGAAATGTCAATAAACCGCATCGTTACACACGACTGATTTTGAGATCCAGTGAACCATATTTGAGCTAGCTGGGAACAAACCGTAGGAACAGTCTTTTACCGGTACTGCTAAACACCACGCTTGTGAGTAGGAAAGATTATTCGTTTCTTGTGAAAACAATATTATGCATGGAGACACTCTTTTACCGGTTACGGTAATCCATTAATTAATTAATCTATTGGAAATGTGGCTTTACCGGCTACAGTCATGTAATTGAAACGTGGCCTTCCCGGTAATAGTCATTTTTGAAAGGTGGCTTTCCAGGCCCGACACCTCCCAAATTACGCTTGCACTATTTGACTGGCTACCCTTGTCGAGCAAAGATATTCATTTCACTGCAGTCGGCACTTTTCCAACTGCACAGTGCACAGGCCCTAATACATGCGTCCGGGCAAAGCAGGCTTAAGTCCTTCTATTCTATTGACAAAGCGACGATCCATGATATCCTAACAGAGTGACTCACGGCAACAGAACAAGACACATATATTGCCGACGCCGCTCTACTTAACCCTGTACTGCTCAAGGATCAGAACGCGGCGGTTTGAGTGGTGACAAGGAGACTCTTCTTGTTGACTAATACTAATCACCAAATAACCTTGAACAGGTGAGGTGAACATTGCTAACGCGTTTTACGTCGCGTTCAACATTACTGCACTTATATGGAGGCGTGCCTGCACATATGTGTATGTGGCTGTTTGAATAAGTCCCGGTTCCATGCCTAGACACCATGTCACAGTTTATGCACACTGTTTCAATGGGTATGCTGCGCGATCACTTCACTGGCCCAATTCGATACACAATTCATTTGGTTCAGATTTAACGGATGTTGGACCAATGTCTCATATAAAAACTTTGTCTAAAGTCCGTTTATAATCTACTTGGCTATATTACAAATATATGACCGCCCTGATAACAAGTCTTAATAGCTTAACGTTTTTGCCTAAAATAATACATTGCGCCAAATAAGACTGGAACAGGCCAGACCACGCTAGCGACCATAGTCAATCAATGATATGGAAACGCACATCCGCGGCTTGATACCAATAGAAGTGCTGAACCCGCTTGGGAGATTGCTGGAATATTGCTAAAAGCGGCGTAAATCATCTGTGTGGAAATATTTCCAGTATACAATGAATGGGTGCGCAACGTATGTGTGATATGCAAAGCCCACCTTTCGTATACAGGGAATACAACTAACATGAACACTCATTTGACCCGTCCTCACTCTCCCATCAGACTCAAGATAAGGCGGAACACGATTCGATCACAGACATAATGAAAGCCTGTAATACATATAGGTCTGTATTGGGACAGAATACTTTCGGTGTAAGTTGAATTCTGAACGTCTTACACTTGAGGATATTGTAAACCCGAGAAAACATTTGATAATTGCATTTCATCTTGAGACTTTCAAAGTCTAAATCGTATGTTACAATCTGGGGAGAATGAGCCAGTGCATCCTAACGTTTTATATATTGGCTAACTAGTATTTGGGGCACTGGTTGAGCTATGGTATCAACTTGCCATCCAGGTATTGGCTGCTTGCTGTGTGCAAAATGGCAGAAATTCAGTATCGTGGCGTATCGTGACCTCAGGATTGAGATACGTTTCGTATCAAGAGGCACCTCTATCCTGACATCAATGGCATTTACTATCGAAAATTCCAAGAACGGGTCGTTGATATTTTTCTTAGCATTGTCATCGATACTTTATCAAGATATTCGTTACGAAAATGTCAAACATTGTCTCTGTTTGTAAAGGAAAACCGTATTTCAGCAGTTTGGAGACACGAAAGTTGTCTCACATAGACAAAATGTTAAAATGACACCTATTTTCCAACAATATGTGCATTATTAATTCGCCTCAGCTCGCTTTTGTTACGAGATCGTACACACAATATATGAGCTGAACGCCCAGATTTTTGCAATAGCATTAGCATCTCTATTTTATCAAATTTGATTCGTCAATGGTTTGGGCCCATTTTCTCATGTTTGTATATGGAAATATACTGAAGGTCCAGTATAGTAACTAAAACACAGTATGTTAGATCCTTTGAGAATTGTTCAATGAAGGGCTCAGCCATTGGTTCTGATATAGGATCACTTAACTGCATCTACATTAAAAGCTGTGTATTTTATTATCAGATTTAAAATAATTCATAAATAGATATAATAAACTTGAAACAGTAAACTGATTAATTGAACCAAGTGTGTTATAACAGTATTTGTTTAAAAAAATGTCAGGTCTGAATAGGACAATTATAAAGAAGAATATTTTAAATCGGGTGGGGTACTCACCAAACCTATTGAGAAATCTATGTTGTAAGTTTTCAAAATTAAAATACACACATTTCTACCATCAGTCTTTCTAGTACTTAGAGTACAATGCTGAATTGGCCAACAGTTTCTGAAAACATATCTACCAAACGTCAAATCAAAATCACTGGTGGTGTGTTGAACTATGTATGCATATACACTGCTGTAGAGTATTATATCAACTCCAGAACAGAATCCATAACAGCATTGAACGTAGCTAGTTACCTGGCTCAATAGTTACTGATATCAGTTTATATGATTTAAGACTTGTGTCAGATCAGTGTTAATATTGTCATTGTTATCATGCTCTCAATGATGTCAATATATGCTCCCGATCAAAAGTTTAGACTTACTAGTGTAAAAGTAGCCACTTACTTCAGTCAACTGTTCTGAACTATATTTTGTAAAATAATCCATACAGTTTAAAGGTACTGTTTATACATGGCTGATGTATTGCAAAACAAATTCGTGACGTTGAAAGGTTTATTGTCATGTGTTCAATAAATGATGAAACTCGGTGAAAAATGGCCATTTTCTTTATCAGAACTTCACACCAAAACGCAGCTGTTCACATGCACAATATTTGCACATGCTTTTCAGCAATTTGACGCATGATCCTCGTGCAATTAATCTGCAAAAGGTTTGAAGTTGGTTCCCCCAAGTTAGTGGAGAAATTCATCTTCGTTGTAACCATATGTACATACATAACGTATAGTGATTGATTTAAGCGAGTCTAAACTTATGGTGGGTAGTATGGCCTCAAACCGTAAAAAAACCTATGGTCCCCAGGATCGTGTTAAAATTCACCGTTAATTCAACAGTTCACAGACAGATCATATCATGATAAATGGCTCAGCATGATTATGTTCAGATCAATATGTCCTATCCTTTCACATTTGTGTATCACCCGTATTGTGGCCGACCAAATGAGAATTCGCCTATGTTTGGGCTCGCTGTCCCTCAGATATCCTTCAGGACATTGTGACCTCGTACCTATCCCTGGCTTGGCTGTGTGCGCTATAACTAGAACACTTCCTGAACCTATTCTCTCGCGTTATTTATGAAGCACACGACCTACCTGTAAATGAATTCAATCCTGTCACAACCACAACGGAGTTTAATTGTTGAACAAGGCGGGTTACTCAAGATGACACGCTCATGTCTTGCTCGGATTATCCGGCACACGACTTACCTGTAAATGAAGTATGAACAAAGTAAAATGTATGCACATTTGCAACGGAAATGTGTCGTAGCATGCAGTTGTATACAGCGTGTTTACGTGACAATGACTGCCAAAAATAACTTCATTGATCGAAGTCGTTTATATTTTTTGTTTGTTAGTTTCGTGTTTGACACTGCGCTCAGCAGTTTCGTGTTTAACACTGCGCTCAGCAGTCTTCCATTTCTATACCTACCGTCTCTGAATATTGGACAGTCCAGAGATCACCAACCTGAGCACCGATCCACGCACTTGGAATGAGGTGCAGCGTTCCTGGCCACTCGTTCCCGTTTGTTGCCTCTATACACTACTGGATAGGGCTTGAATTTGAACGGAATCCCCAGACGCTGACATACAGTACAACACCTTTCGACTGAAGTGGATCATTTATACACTATGACGAAGAAGGAAGTTTTAACATTTCAGTAATTTCTTGAAATCCCTTGAAAGTTTAGGGAATACATGAAATCCCTGGGGGTCTCAGAGATTTCACGAAATCACTGACCCTTTTAGGGATTACGTGAAATCCCTGGTTTCACACGTTCCCTGCAACATAATAATAATGCTATATATACCTTGAAACTGTGTGCGGGAGGTAGTGTGTCACATACACTTCAGGAAGTCGTATACAAGAACCAGTATACACAAGGGGAACGTGAAATTCTTCAAGGCATTTAGACGTTGGTGTAGTGATGGAAGACAAAAGTCACAGATAGCAACTTCTTCATTTGTTTCTCAGGACGTTTCTGGGCTAGTTGTTGCCCCTTCTTCAGGTGGGAGAACGTGTTGGATGGATCATACCAGACTTGTAACTCGGCTAACCGGCAGGTGCGAGCTGGGTTTAACGCATATTTTCTGTTTGTAATATGGATGTATTTCTAACTCGGGAGGACATCAAAGAGTGATCAATGGCATAGCTATTTACCACGTGAAACCCCCAACTGAAACCCCCACAAAACACAGTACCGCGAATCTGGGATTCGGGCCCACGATCGGAGCTTTTGGGCACTCATGGTATGCATCTATGCTAAGTGAATATCTGAACCTTAAATGAAACAGCCACACGGTCTCCCGGGCTCAATATTAGCATTCAGATTACAAAGAAAGCCACTTAAGTAGGTTGAATGAGTCAACACGTTTCAGATAAGTTGTGAAGCGTGAAGCGTTCCCTCCTCTTTGGTGTAAAACATCGGGGTGCCCCAGCTTGTTTGGAAGCAAAACGCCATTATCACATAACACATTGTGTATATTGTCAAAACTTTCTTTTTTTAATTGTATTAAATTCTTACGAAGCTCTTTAATCCGTCTTCCTCTTAAAAGACTACTATGTCATATCGTGATAACTATCACCATAGCATGCACGCCTTAAGAAGGTTGACATAAAATGCAACGTTGACATGCATGGGTTTTAAAGTTGGTTACATATAAACAACATATATAAATATGTGAGGGTGCTATTCCCCTTTTGGAACGGTGAAATTCGGAGGTTCGTTTGGAGGGTATTTGGGATTGAACGACGTAGTACGCAAACCTTACATACAATCGCATTTAGCATTTAAATAAATCATTTGTGCATTTCAATGCTTTGATATTTTTGGAGTGAGTGAGTGAGTTAATATTTTTTTCGTAACATCGGCAATATTTTAGTCATATCGTGACGAGAACAATTAATAATCAGCAAAGATCAATAATATTAGAAGCTATACAACTGTTTACGGTGAACAGTAAAACTACTAGTGTATCAAGGATAGAGATATAAAACTGTTTACGGTGAACAGTAAAACTACTAGTGTATCACAGATAGAGATATAAAACTACTAGTGTATCACAGATAGAGATATAAAACTGTTTACGGTGAACAGTAAAACTACTAGTGTATCACGGATAGAGATATAAAACTATTTACGGTGAACAGTAACACCACTAGTGTATCACGGATAGAGATATAAAACTATTTACGGTGAACAGTAACACTACTAGTGTATCACGGATAGAGATATAAAACTATTTACGATGAACAGTAAAACTACTAGTGTATCACGGATAGAGATATAAAACTATTTACGGTGAACAGTAAAACTACTAGTGTATCAAGGATAGTGATATAAAACTGTTTACGGTGAACAGTAAAACTACTAGTGTATCACGGATAGAGATATACAACTGTTTACGATGAACAGTAAAACTACTAGTGTATCACAGATAGAGATATAAAACTGTTTACGGTGAACAGTAAAACTACTAGTGTATCACAGATAGAGATATAAAACTGTTTACGATGAACGATAAAAGTAAAACTACTTGTGTATCACAGATAGAGATATAAAACTACTAGTGTATCACAGATAGAGATATAAAACTGTTTACGGTGAACAGTAAAACTACTAGTGTATCACGGATAGAGATATAAAACTGTTTACGGTGAACAGTAAAACTACTAGTGTATCACGGATAGAGATATAAAACTATTTACGGTGAACAGTAACACCACTAGTGTATCATGGATAGAGATATAAAACTATTTACGGTGAACAGTAACACCACCAGTGTATCACAGATAGAGATATAAAACTATTTACGATGAACAGTAAAACTACTAGTGTATCAAGGATAGAGATATAAAACTGTTTACGGTGAACAGTAAAACTACTAGTGTATCACAGATAGAGATATAAAACTGTTTACGATGAACAGTAAAACTACTAGTGTATCACAGATAGAGATATAAAACTGTTTACGATGAACAGTAAAACTACTAGTGTATCACAGATAGAGATATAAAACTGTTTACGGTGAACAGTAAAACTACTAGTGTATCACAGATAGAGATATAAAACTACTAGTGTATCACGGATAGAGATATAAAACTGTTTACGATGAACAGTAAAACTACTAGTGTATCAAGGATAGAGATATAAAACTGTTTACGATGAACAGTAAAACTACTAGTGTATCACGGATAGAGATATAAAACTGTTTACGATGAACAGTAAAACTACTAGTGTATCACGGATAGAGATATAAAACTGTTTACGGTGAACAGTAAAACTACTAGTGTATCACAGATAGAGATATAAAACTACTAGTGTATCACAGATAGAGATATAAAACTACTAGTGTATCACAGATAGAGATATAAAACTGTTTATGGTGAACAGTAAAACTACTAGTGTATCACAGATAGAGATATAAAACTGTTTACGGTGAACAGTAAAACTACTAGTGTATCACAGATAGAGATATAAAACTGTTTACGATGAAGAGTAAAACTACTAGTGTATCAGAGATAGAGATATAAAACTGTTTACGATGAACAGTAAAACTACTAGTGTATCACAGATAGAGATATAAAACTACTAGTGTATCACGGATAGAGATATAAAACTACTAGTGTATCACAGATAGAGATATAAAACTGTTTACGGTGAACAGTAAAACTACTAGTGTATCACAGATAGAGATATAAAACTGTTTACGGTGAACAGTAAAACTACTAGTGTATCACAGATAGAGATATAAAACTGTTTACGGTGAACAGTAAAACTACTAGTGTATCACAGATAGAGATATAAAACTGTTTACGATGAACAGTAAAACTACTAGTGTATCACAGATAGAGATATAAAACTGTTTACGGTGAACAGTAAAACTACTAGTGTATCACGGATAGAGATATAAAACTGTTTACGGTGAACAGTAAAACTACTAGTGTATCACAGATAGAGATATAAAACTGTTTACGATGAACAGTAAAACTACTAGTGTATCACAGATAGAGATATAAAACTGTTTACGATAAACAGTAAAACTACTAGTGTATCACAGATAGAGATATAAAACTGTTTACGGTGAACAGTAAAACTACTAGTGTATCACAGATAGAGATATAAAACTGTTTACGGTGAACAGTAAAACTACTAGTGTATCACGGATAGAGATATAAAACTGTTTACGATGAACAGTAAAACTACAAGTGTATCACGGATAAAACTAGAATGTAACTAAAACTTATACTATATATATTGCAAGACAATACAATATAAACGGGCTGTAGATCACCAGCAACTGAGGGTAGATCACCATACTAGAGACCATTGGAACTTATAGTTCATTGGCTACCTGCATGGACCGTAGACGAATTTATATCATCCCCTCAGCCGCTGGTGATTGTAGTTAAATTTAGCCATAACGTAAAAACACAAAAATATTGCGTTTTAAAAATTCGGTAAGTTTCATTTACCTTGAATGTTTATGGACTTAAGTACCCCCACAGGTGATATTTTGTAAGCAATTTAATTTGAAATCGCACGCTTTTGTCAGTGCTTTTGAGATGCGGATGCGTAGTGACTAGCAAGATGTGGGTACTCGGCATTCAGGTGAGGCAACGAGGTGTTCACGTGTACGTCTATACGTGAGTGAGATGACCGCAGCCTGTTAAAGTAGTATCATTATTGTTTCCGTTTGCTGAAAAACATTCATTGGAACATTCCTTTTCATGACATGTTCAGCTTCTTATAGCTATTCCTCCTATGTCCATGTGGGTATAATTTCAGCACTGTCGGGATCCAAGGGCATTTTTAAAAAGAAATCGGTCCAAACAGGGGGTCATACTCCAGCATACTCAAAAGTCATGGATCTTGTGTTTCCGTGCTGCGAGGGAGCAAAGGACATTGGAATATCCATTTCAGTACTAAAATAATCTTTTTGTTATGATAAGACGTAGAAAATACACGATGGCAAGTTATGAACATATAGTATGACCAGAAATTATTGACAATTTTAGGAATATGTTTAATTGGATTATTAGTATAAACAACCTTGACATGCTATCAAGTGATTGGTTTCAGTCAAGAGAGACAACTCCGACAAATCCTTTTTCATTAGATTGAGAAGAGTTATCCCCCTTTGCTTATTTGCTTACAGACGACATTTTCAGTGATCCTCAGTATGGATGATTTAGAGAAGAGGAAGTTGATTTTAGAGTATTATAACAAGGACATCAGATCAGCTAAAGTGATTGCAAGTAGAACAGGCATTCCTTTGTCCACTGTTTATCGTGTTTTGAAAAAGATTGCAAATGGATATGGCATTGAGCACCGGGAGGCGCAGGTAGACCCAGAAAATTGACTATCGGTGACAGGAGGCGGCTTGGTATTCTTGTTTCTAAAAACAAACGAAGAAGTTTAGAAACGTAAGGCTGGATATGCACGTTGGGATATCTATTTCATAACCATTTATGCCTCACGATAAACAAGATCTGTTCTGAACAGTAAACAATGCACTATGAATGATGTTAAC